ACACACACACACACACACACACACACACACACACACACACACACACAATTTTTAAATTAATAGTCCATATTTTAATTATATAATTTATATTGGCTTCATAATGGCTTCATAATGTATGCTTCTAGTATTACCAGATAAAATAATTTGAACTTTTTCATAGTATTTAAAGGCTCAAAAAGAAATGACTGAAATATTAGTTTTTAAAGATGGTAAAGTTTGTTTTATATTTAATAATGTGAAAACAAGAAACAACCCAAAATATTTAAATTAAAATAGCAGTATAAAAACAAATTAAACACTATGTATATAGCTGTAATAACAAATGTCACTTAAAGGCAATGTTTCAAGAGATAGCAGATAAGCATATATATGTTTCTTTCTCTAGTCCAATTTAATAACAACATAGTTTACTTTTCATGCCAAACACAAAATCTTCCATTTTAGGTACTTACATAAATTCTTGGAGGCTAATTTCTGGGTTTCAGAAACATATTAAAGCTTACTACGCCAATATATTTCACCAGATGTTACTTTGGGGTTTAGGTGACGATGATGGTCCGAAAGTAAAGCCTTTTTAAAATTCTCAGCACAATTGTCACTAAAATTCTGATTCATTCTCTTCTCAACTTACACACACTTACATAATGCAAAAACATGAGAATTTCTTTAAACATGGGGAAATGATTCTCTTTAGGCCCAGTTACAAGCAAATGGTAAGCAGTGAGTAGGTAGGATAGAAGCTATTTTTAGTATGCTTCTGGTTTTTAAGGAAGTTTTTACTTGTAAGAGAAATATTAAAATGATTAAATAACAGAAAAATAATTGTCACAGGATATTACATAAGTTATTGGCACATGACTGGCTTAGTAAATGCTGTGAACCAAGCAATTAAAGCAAAATGGGAAGTAAATGGTATGAGAATTCTTCCTTGAAAGGATGGATAGAATTTGTGAAATACTATTAGCTGACATTTATTGAATGTCTGGTTTGTGCTGACACTGTTCTAAGTGCTCACATTTACTAATCCCCATAACAACCTATGAGGATAAATATTTAAGCTATATGAAAATGTCAAAATTCAACTTTTTTTTTACTTTTAAAAATGATGTTTATATGATTCAATCAATATTACTGTTAAAATTTCACAGATAAGGAAACTGAGGTACAAAGAAATTAAATAACCTGCTCAAATTTAAATGATGATGATTATTATTAAGTGATCAAATTCATAGTATCTAATTTCACTGTTGGCCACTACAGTCTATGCGTTAGGGAAGAAGCCGCTATACTTTGTTAGGGTGGGGATAAAGTAAGAAAATATAACTCATAGATTAAAATCTTCTAAACATACTTCTGTCTCTTGGTAGTACCTTGTAAAGTCCTTGAAAAGTGAAACAAGATGTTTTTTACATTTGTGCTCTACTCCATGCATAGTAAGGTATCAAGGGCATTTTCATAATTAAAGTTGTCAGTCATGTAGATGATTATTGCTGTTGCATGAAACAGTATTCAAATGAATATGTGACCACATATAGGATATTACGGTCCCAACAAACATCTGTTTTCAACTAATGTAGCAGAATAGAAGTTTCAAGGTCAGTGCTTTCAGCCCAGCTATAGACCATGCTATGTGAGAGTTACCAGGCTGAAATCCTCTTGTTATTGGGGCTGGGTAGTCAGGGACAAATACTTAGGTACATATTAGCCAAGTGAGAAAACCTTAAATTATATTACTTTTTCTGTGTGTATACTTTTCAGCTTTGTACTTCAAATTTAGTAAAATATTTGCAAAATAGGCTAGATAGTCCAAATCAAATTTAAAATCAAGTTCTTTTAAATTTACAAAGGACATAACATCATTTGTGTCTTGTGACGTATTTAGTCTTGGTACTCAAGGAGTGGTTACACAATTTAATTCATATGGTAGTGGCAGCATCAGAAGCATTGTATTCCTACCTTGACTTCCACTTCAATAGAGAAATGAGGTCCTTCCCCTTCAATATCTTTCTCTATGTCTCTAAACAAATCATGGTGTTATGGAAACTATACAAAATTGAAGTGGAAGGACCTGATTTCTCTATTAACTGCTAGTAATTTTGTCACATAACATTGAATCAGATATCTCTTTTCTCTAGAACCCAATTTTCACCTCTAAAAAAAATGGTTGGGGTTAGATGGTCCTGATTCTAACAGTTGATAATCCAACACACTCATTTCAACCCTTTGTGTTTCTCCTTTGCCTATTCGTTGCTGGAGATATCTTTCAATGAAAAAGTGATTTATGGCCTTTAGAAAAAAGGTCTCATACATGTACAATGTCTTTTGTTGTTTAGATGCACACTCGTAGAATTAGGAAGGCATTCAGTTCTGTCAAACACATTCTGTCACAGACTCTTCAATTCTATAAAATTTATTGAGTTTCTTAAGAGATATTAGGTTGGTGCAAAAGTAATTTCGAGTTTTGTCATCAAAATTGCGAAAACCGTAATTACTTATACAAATCTAATATGTACCTTAAGAGGCACTTGATAAATAACAGGCTAAGATTTTTGAGCGCTAAGGTTCTAATAGTGTAAGGATAATAATGTGTGTGTTTGTGTGTTCTCCTTTCTTTAGTCTCTTGAAATGGAGAAGTTAACCACTTTCAGCTTCTATTTAGCTTTGAGCTTCACCATCCTTATCAAACATATTTACATTTAGAAGAATATCCATAATACTTTAAGCAATTTTGTCTTATTATTAGACTTAGTGTGGAAATAAGCCTTTTTGGTAGCAAATAAAAAGTTTTTCAAGGACAATTTGTTGTAAAAAGTAATAAAGATTCGATCACTCTGGCAGGTCCGATATACCCATTTATAAGTGGATTACAGCAGCGTAGGATTTTGTAATTCCATTTTAACTTGGTGCCCAGTTCTTCTCTAAGGAATTCTGTTATTCTCTGCATTGAGCAATAAGGAAAATATCTTGAAGATATAAAACTTAATTCGACTTCTACCAACTAAGTGCAGAGGGTGATAAGAAACAAAAACAGTAATAGCATGGTGTAAAGGAGGGCTAGTCTAAGGGTCAGGTACTGTTTGCCTAGACTGTCCTTCGGCCAGCCACCTGGTTTCTCAGAGCCTCAGTGTGCTCTACTGGAAAATGTGATAATGTTCATTGTCCTTTCCTAATCCGTCATTCTGTGAAGTGATGCTTCCAGGTGAAGGAGACAAATAGGTCAGAATGTTCCTGTAGTCATGGTTCTCTTTAGGCTGATTTTCCATGAAATAGTTGTATTCCTCTTCCTCTAGCACACTCAGGTTAAGTTGGAGCTCTTTAACCTGGGCATTCTTCCCAAAACTTCATTGGAAATACTGTCTGCTTCAAAATCACCTTTGTTTGCACTATGTCCTACAGCATAATAGACTTCTGGCTCAGAGAGTGAAAGCCGTGGAAGGAAACTAGAAGAATATTTATGTTAACTCCCTTATTTTGCTAATAGTGAAATGGACCCTGGGGAGGTTTGGTGACTCTCCACCCAGTCTCAAAGCTCCTAAAGCAAGAAATCAAGTTCCTAATATAGGATTTTAAATTCTCTTATTGGTATATTTTCCACTTGTCTATTTTTAGCAAAAAAGGCATCAGTGATTTTTAGTCGATTTCATAAAGGAGTAATAGGATAGCTTCCTTGTCCTGCTTTTTTCTTTAAAAACTACAACCTGATAACGATGAGTTAGGCTGTTGTAATTTTTGGAAACATATGCTAATGGGTTGTTGCAAATATATACAAAATTAGGGGCTGGGTGCAGTGGCTTACACCTGTAATTCTATCCTTTTGGGAGGCCAGGTCAGGTGGATTGCTTCAGCTCAGCAGTTCAAGATCAGCCAATATGGTGAAACCATGTTTCTACTAAAACTACAAAAACTGCTGGGCATGGTGGCACACACCCGTAGTCCCAGCTACTCTGGAGGCTGAGGTGGGATGATCACCTGAGTCTGGGAGGTTGAGGGTGCAATGAGCCTAGATTGTACCACTGTACTCCAGTCTGGGTGATAGAGAAGACTCTGTCTCAAAAAAAACCAAAAAGTTAGGGAAGCCAGATTGAGCAGGATTTTTAAGATGAGATGTCAAGTTTGTGTTTTTCATATAGATCTTTTTATTTTCTTAATGTAGTAAGTGTTAAGTATCATCTCCTGAAGTGTCCAACTCTTAAAGGAAAAGGAAAAGCTTCCAATACCACTAGATTTTTCACTCAGTTTTGTGTTTTCTTTCATCAATCTAACTTAGAGGCAGAGAAGTTAATGTTCAACTCAGTAAGAACTTTTTTGAACTTTGGAAAAATTGCTTAATAAATTGTGTTACTAACTGTTGCAATATTTTCAAAGGATCACGCTAAAGCTTGCCAAAGGGCCACTCTTAAGTTTGCCTTAAAATCAATAGTCATGTCTTCAGCATTACACCCTGATTCTCTCGGTAAAAGGCTGAAAAGGCTGCTGTAATAACAATTTGCTGAAAACGTTTCTGCTGCAAGTGTATGGCAAGGCTGCAAAGGTTCTCATGAATGAGGTACTTGAGCTTAACCCTTTTATTCTGGTTGACTTGAGGCTATAAACAATCTCCCAGAAGTGCCTGTATGTATTACAAAGATATAACCCAAACTTATATTCTTTTTCATAGGAAGTTGTCCTTGAAGAAGGTACACTTGCTTTTAAAAATTGGGTTAAAACAGGCACAGAAGTTTACAGACAGTTTTGGATCTTTGATGTGCAAAATCCACAGGAAGTGATAATGAACAGCAGCAACATTAAAGTTGAGCAAAAAGGTCCTTATACGTACAGGTGAGTGAGTCCCCACAAATATGAGGCACTCTTACCTTGAACATGTATTGCTGAGAAGTCTTCTGCTTGACAAATGCCATTGTATTGAAATGTACTTCTTATTTTCTTATCAATAATATACTTTAAAATATTTTTCCTATTTGTTTAGAATCCTAATCTAAGAATTTAATAAGATATTTTGAATAAATGGGATATTTACATTATCCAAATACTTATTAGCCAGGATATAGGAAATACCTACAGATTTTTATTATAAACTTACCAGTATCAAATAAATTCCCTATGTTTATGAAGTTAGTGTTTTATTATTGTGGCGTGTATTCTCAACAACTTTGAAATATTCCTGCTGAGCAAAAAAATGTTTTCACATCTTAAAAGTTAAAGCATATTTTAACAGCAGTTCTCAAAGTGTAGCTGGGCCACAGCAAAGTGCTGGGACAGCTGCATCAGCATAAACAGGGAATTGGGAAACATGCAAATCCCCACACCCCACCCCAGACCAAATGACTGAAAGGTTCTTGAGTTCGGGGCCCACTTAAGAGTTTCACAAACCCTGGGTGATTCAGGTACACAATTCCAAGAACCACAGTGCTAAATTCATTTTATCTAACTGCAGTACCTACTGAAGACTTAGATTCAAATTAACTTCTAGGTCATATGGATGTTTACATTGATCTAGTAGTTTCTTATATTTTCTCTAGTGTTGAAACTGAATATTTTATATCTTTCGTCTGTCTTCCCTAATAGTTTAACACTTTTGAACAGAATCTTAGAATATTAGAACTAGAGGAAATGACCAGCCAGAATCTGTCATTCTGTGAATGAAAAATGCCTGACCCAAAGGATGTGAGGTCACTTGTCCCTGTTCACACAGATGTAGGTACTGGCAACTCTTGGATTTTTATATACATTTTCTCCTATTTTGATTATAGACGCTGTCTTTTTCACTAAAAAGGGAAAAAAGGGGGAGATTGAGGTGCTAAAAACACCACCTTAACCAAGGATTAGGGATATATTTATGGTATCCTTACGGAAACATAGTTATGTTCTGCTATAGAATTTGGTACCTAAATGTGTATTTTCCTTTAGGAAGAATCACAACTAGTTATGCATCATGATGTTCTTATCACAAAATTATATATTTCTAATGATTTCTTATAATTTATAGTTTTAGTATCTTATCTGTTTTGGTTATTCAGTGATTATGTCATTTTCCTTCCTCTCCAAAGCATTACTATGCTTCCAGATTGAAAACTGACACCCAAAATAAAATGAAATAACAGGCATGGTGAGGGCGGTGCCTACTACCATAGCACATGACATATAAGTCACAGAGGGCCTTGGTACGTGTCCTGTCTTAGCTGTTTTACCCAAATCTCCTGTCTCTGTGCACTTCTGTGACAATCATGATTTTGTCAATGAAGACTGTTTTTGTTGCTGTAAAAAAACTTAGAGAATTTTTTTCATGGTCTTAAAGTTTTTATATTATTAGCAAGAGTCTATACAAATATCTTGTTGCGAAGAATGTTATTCGGTATACCTAATATATTTATATATTCATAGGTGTATAAATATGTATATATATTCATAGGTATACATATTATACATATATATATTCATAGGTATATCTGCCTCTGAAAATCTAGAATGCACATATGACCTAAGGAGAGTCTTAGCATAATTGTTTAAGAAATGGAACCTAAGTGAACTGAGTAAATGTGAGGAAAGAGAATAATTAGTAGAATTTGAGAACTCATCATTTTTTCTGTTTTGTTTTTTTTGTTTGGGGGAGGTCATATTTTTCACGTTTATTTTTGATTTATTTTTTGAGTCACGGTCTTGCTCTGTCACCCATGCTAGAGTGCAATGGTACTATCTCAGCGCACTGAATCCTCAGCCTCCCAGCTCAAGTGATCCTGCCGCCTCAGCCTCCTGAGTAGCTGGGACCACAGGAACATGCCACTATGCCCAGCTAATTTTTATGGGGTTTGTTTGTTTTGTTTTGTTTGTGGTTTTTTGTAGAGACGGGGTTTCACCATGTTGCCCAGGCTGGCCTCAAACTCCTGGGCTCAAGCAGTCCACGTTCCCTGGCCTCGCAAAGTGCTGGGATCACAAGTGTGAGCCACCATGCCCGGCGATATTTTTCACTTTTAAATATATTACTTGGGATATGAGAGGCCATATCATTGAAATAGTTCTCCTCTGGTAGTAGGCAGCTAATATACAATTTTATTCTTAGGGCCTTTAGCCTATTTCTCTAAGGGACAAAAAGGGGATGTGTTAGATATTCTTGATTTGCTTAGAGAGGCGACGGAGGAAAGTTTGGAGAAGAAAAGTTGTATTTACAGCTAAATTTTATAATCCATAAACAGGTCTTCCTATAACAATTTAAAAGGGATTCCTGAGTAACTACAGGTTGTCTTGTCTCATGATGTCACCAAAACAGTCTTTGTTTGCCTGAATGCTTTAAATAATGGAAAAACCAGTACCTTTTAGAAAAAAGTGAATACTTTGACAGTGTTTGTGTGGAGCTAAAACATGCTTTTTCATAGTTAATTATACCCTAAGTCCCTCTGGCATTGGAAATATGTGAGAATGTCCTCCCTCAAGCAGAACCACAGGCTTTACTTGGCCAATGGCTGCTAAACAAGTCTTGGTGACACTTTGACAAGATATGACCTGAATCAAAGCATGAAATTGCTTGGGTTGAGATTTTATGTATGTTTCTACCTACACCATTTCTATGAAGATGCTGTAACTCCTTCAGAATATTCTTAGATCCATAATTCATTTTTTAAGTTACTTTGCTTTGGAAAGAATACAAATAAAGTAATCTTGAGAAAAGTATCAAATAAATTACTTCCCTTGCCCTTACAAACACGTTCCAAAACTTCCATACAATCTAACTTTTAAAGAAAAAAGTCAGTATTTATCTTCCCTTTCTAAAGGCAGGGCTGTTTTAAGGATTTTTCTTTTAGTGACTGCCATCTACTGGTATAATGTTGTAAGTACACTTTAGGTAACAAATTTGACGATTATTTTGCTAGTTTTTAAATATATGTGCATATTTCTGAAAATTAGAGTACTTTGATTTGAAATATTAGTAATATGCACACTAATTTAAAATACAACTGTCCTGAGTGCTGTTTCAGATTTTGATATTCTTTGTATGTCTGCAGTACTTCAAGAATAGTTTTAATAAAATTATATTAAAAATATATTTCTAGACAACTTTGAATCCTCTTTTTAAAGAATCTGAGACATGTATTTAGTAAATCTATTTATTGAGAACTCATTCTATACCAGGAATGCTTAGAGATACAAAACACTTATAAACCCCTACCTTATATGAATTTACATTTTTATTGTAATTGAATGAAATGTGTTTTTTAAAAATTCAGTCCAATTTTTTAAGTCTTTACCTTGACTATCTACTCACTTTACAGACATTCAAATATGACAGTGCAATTATGATGTATATCTAATTTCTTAATGCGTATATCTTCCACTTGTGAAATGTATTTTTCTGGTAATAATCACCCTTCACTACATTGATAAAATGTAGTTGGTACTTTGCAGCCTAGATATGTTAGAGTCAGGAGATTAGAACAAAAGTATTCGATGTGCTTGAGTGTTGGGGAGGTTATTTCTATAACCCTTAAAAATGGAAATTATATTCTCTTATTTCTAATTATCATTAAAGTACTGAAAAAGATGGAAAAACAGTACTGGATAGGCTATGCATTTTGATAATTCTAATATAAGAAAATATGCTCTAAATATTCCCCTGCGGAAGCCCCTGTACTTTTTCCTCCTTGCCTTCAGGAGAAATTCTGTCATTTGGGTATTAGACGCAACTCTTTTATGTTTGAGATCTTGCTTATTTCAGTCACTTTATTCCTACTATTCTCCTCACCTCTTACTCTGTAATCCAACCACACTCAAATATCTGCATTTCCCAAAATATATTGTGTTCTTTCCTATGCATGCTACCATCTGCCCTACTTTACTTAACTTCTATTTGTTACAAAGACCACTCATGTGGACTTAGTTAAGGTCCTACTTTGGGGTTAACCCTTACCCCCCTACCTTGACCAGTCTCAATCTGGATCTATTTTGTGTTTTCCAATGTATTGTTTCCATTATAACAATATTCATTCTCCCTATTTTAATTTCCAGTTTGACATTTTAAGACCCCTTCTGATTAGTTTGCTAGAGACCCTGGCTGATTTATCATTTAAACACCATTGCTTACATATATCTGCTATATTCTGTATGTTCAAAAATTATTTGTTGAATGAATGACATTTGAGATCTTGAACTCCTGACCTCAGGTTATCCACCCACCTTGGCCTCCCATAGTGTTAGGATTACAGGCGTGAGCCACACGCCTGGCCTGACATTTGAGATCTAATGTTGTATGACAAATGTTTTGAATTTTGTTTACTTCTGTTTCTTTAGAGTTCGTTATCTAGCCAAGGAAAATGTAACCCAGGACCCCGAGGACAACACAGTCTCTTTCCTACAGCCCAATGGCGCCATCTTTGAGCCTTCACTATCAGTTGGAACAGAAAATGACAACTTCACGGTTCTCAATCTGGCTGTGGCAGTGAGTAGACAAACAACAACGTTATTTATTTTAACATACCCTAGTAGTTGCTGTAATGAATCCTATCATTCGAATTATTAGGTTTTACTTATTTTTCCAGTTAAAAAATGTATTCCTATATCATTATTTTGAATGGAGGTATATGGTCATTTGGAAAGGGACAAAATCATAAGAATCAAATGCATTAGAAGACCACTTTATTTTTTTTTATTGAAACATCATTTAATTTCAGTTTTATAATAGATTACAGGAAGATGCTTATGAAACAAGTACGTTTGTTTCATAATGTCTTTAAATGATAGACTTATAAGTATATAAACGACCATATAATAAAGAAACTTACAAATGTTGCCTGTAAGAAATCAGGCAAATTTTAACATAATAAACCATTCCAAGCTTTCCAGACAGTCTCTATACCTGCACCAGCGTGATTAAGCTTTAGCCAAACAAAACAAAAACAAACCAAAGCACTTTGCAACTTGCTGCCGCAAAATGCGGAGAGAAAAGAGCATATAAGCGTGATGGAATCACAACAGTCAATATAATTAATTTTAAGAGAAAATAGTCAATAAGGTTGATGGTGTCTGCTGCTTGGAAAGTCGAATTCTGCTGTTGGCTTGGGACTCTGGACACCGCACCACTGAAAACAGGTAAAACTCCGCAGAGTCTCGCTCTCTGCCAACAGGGGTGCCGTCCAAACTCATGGCAAATAAATGGCACTTGGTACTCACCACCCACAACGGGAGAGCGTTTTATGTGGATGAAGTACAATTTCTTCAGCAAACTCAGCAAAAACTGTTAAGGGGCAAAAATGAACTCTGCATTTAAAGAAAAATCGAAAATGAAAACACAAAATCCTAAAAAGTATATAAAAGGCTCTACATGAGCACACTGGTATCAAACCACACATCCACAGCACGTCCTAATCCTATGTGAAACAATTCTTGCTTATCAGAGGTAGACACCTAAATTCAATAGCTTACCAATATCTTCTTGGAAGTAGGCCAAAAGGAAACAGAAAACCCATATTTAAAAAAGTTTATTTTCCTTAAGTGTTTTCCTGAAGCTAAATTTGAAGTAGAGGAGGTCAGTGGTCCTCGTCATTCTCGTTAAAGTCCTCCTCGTCCTCCCCGAACTGGGACACCGGGGTCTCCACCCTGGAGCTGCTGTACTGAGGCCTGTTGGAGCTGGTGGCCAGCATCCCATCTGCACCTTTGGTCAGGCACCTGGCAGAGAGCCTGGTGCCGTTAGATGTGGAACCTACCGTCGTGAGGAACATGCCTGTAACAGTTCCCTGAGCCATTTCTGCCACCTACAGCCCCAGAGCCTTTGGGACCAGACTTCTGGCATTTTTTTTTTTTTTTTTAAATTCTGGGATACATGTGCTGAACGTACAGGTTGCTACATAGGTATACATGTGCCATGGTGGTTTGCTGCACCTATCAACCCATTAGCTAGGTTTTTAAGCCCTCATGCATTAATGCATTAGATATTTGAAAAGACCACTTTAAGTGTATCATTAAAGAAATTGAACTTAACTTGGAATGTCGTCGTCTTGTGGCTCGCGCTGAGGCAGAGGAGTAACCATCTAGGAATTAGCCAAATTGAGTTTTGGCAGGATTTGGCAGTAATTGTAAAGATAAGCTTTAAAAAGTTTTGTATTAAGATCAATATTAGTCTTCAGTCCATGTATTTGTTAAAATCTAATATTGCATTCTTAAACAGTGATTTTTTTTTTGTAGGCTGCAGCCCATATCTATCAAAATGCATTTGTTCAAGTGGTGCTCAATTCACTTATTAAAAAGTCAAAATCTTCTATGTTCCAAACCAGAAGTTTGAAGGAACTGTTATGGGGCTATAAGGATCCATTTTTGAGTTTGGTTCCATACCCTGTTACTACCACAGTTGGTCTATTTTATCCTGTAAGTACCAAATATGAATGGCACTATTATAATATTTTAATTGAATTAATTCAATGGCATTGGCAAGGCATAATTTTATAATTTAGCTCATTAGTCTTATTGCTGATCTGGAGATATATATCCTAACTTTTAAAAAAGTTCCCTTCTCATGATAGCTTCAGCTTTCCTAGTTGGGAAATTTATCTGAATTTCACAATTAAATGTAAACCTGAAAAACAGATTTAATCAGGTTTCTACTCATTTATAAATATACAATTTGTTTTAAATTATCTTGTAAGCTAGTCTGTAAATCTTTGAGCACTGTTTTTGGCTTTTATTTCCCTTTTCACATAATCGAGTTTAATGCCATATTTTTATTTGTTTTAAATATCATCATTCCTCCTTTTCAGACCCCTTACAAATTTGATTTACACATCTCAGTGGTATTGATAAGCTAACAGACTTCATTTTAATCGCATTTGTACATAAGAATTTTTAGTAGTTCACAATGTCATGAAATGGCAGCTGGAAGATTAAGAAAAATGTGAACTTGATGGTGTATTTCATTACAGCCTAATGTTTTGAATGACAAATTGGATAAGCTAACTATTGAATTGGAAGTTTGACTATAATTTCATTTGGCACTACATGTGAATATTATGTTCTCTAGTTCATTGTTACTGTTTTACTTTTAGATACTGTTAGGATTACAAGGTTACATATCAAATATGAATGTAGAAAGCCAGGATGAATCAAATGCGTTCTCATTTTAACTCAATAGTCATAGCTCTTCGGCTAATGCTTTAAATTTTGGATGCTAATTTTATCATTTTAGTGACCACTTATTAATGATCATAACATTTAGAAAATCTGTAGAAATCTTTGTTCTTACACGTTTGTTCAACGTCCCTCACCTCGACATAGTAAGAGTAGTAATCAAAATGCCCTTATTGGCTTAATTATGACAAAGAGTGCAACAGTTCGCATCTTGTCAGCTTCTGATATGTATCTTCTTTGTCTCACCATCAGCACTTATTTCTAGGAGCCTCACAAAAAATTTCTAAGGCCAGTTTAAAAGTATTGCAGATATATTTCAAGTCATATGAGTAACCAGTGACTGAGAAATGTGAAAGTGAGTTTTATAACTTTGACAATGACTTGTTCTATAAGTAAGTTTTTCCCATACGTATCTTTTCAGTACAACAATACCGCGGATGGAGTTTATAAAGTTTTCAATGGAAAAGATGACATCAGCAAAGTTGCCATAATTGACACTTATAAAGGTAAAAGGTAAGTATTCAGGTAAAATGTGCATGCGTGTTCCTAGGGTACTCTTAAGCAGGAATGGTATTCATTTAACACCTTATAAGACAGAGAGATGAACCTATAGAACAGACCTAGTTATATTTCAGTTCTGGAAACTCCTGTTCTACTAGGTATTAACCCTTGAGTTGTGGCAACTGGTGTGTTCACACCAGTGACTATCAGCTCTACTTTAGGGTTTGGTTTACCTTTCTGCACAGGGTATTTTATATAAAGAAAACCCCAAAGGGACTATTTTTTTCATCTCTGCTACATATCCAGCATTACAGTACAATTATTCTTACAATTAGATAACCATAAATGAAAAGGGGAAAAAAAAACCCAACACATCAACTGATTGCCTAGTAGATAAACTTTTTTCATTTTTAAATTGAGCATATCAAATTTTAGATTCCAATGGCATGACCTAAATAGCTATAAGGATGGAAGCTTAATGAATCCAAGCAAATGCTTTCATGACATTCCCCCTACAGTCTTTAAATAATTTACCATATTAATAACTGTTTTAATGTTTATCAATGCAAAAACTGAATATTTCAAGTACAGTTCTACAATGTACATACAAAATGTGAAAATAAAGAGTATGCCACCTTTTGAAGTGGTAAAATAACAAATCAGCTTCATAAGCCATTATTTCCTGTTTTTCCTCTAACTCCAGCCTATTCATCTAAAGGATTTATAATTTATCACATGTTTAAACTAGGAAGAACCCTAATAAATATCAAGGGAGCAAGCTTTCTTCTCCATAAAGTTAACAATTGTGTTTTAGACCAGTTATTTCTGAAAAAGAATAAGGTGATCAAAACTGAAAGAGACGAAATGTTTTTATTAATATAAGTAACCCCTATCTCAAACTGAGTCTATCTATTAATTGCATTTAACAGCTAAATATTAGTAGTGGAGTACTGTTTCTTCTGAAGAGTCCACATTACATATTTCTGTAGAAAAATCGGGAAAAAAAAACACTTCTAAGTATTCATTTATGAAGAAATCACAGCAATTTTTTATATTGAGGAATAAAAAGCATTTCACTCTATTAATATTGCAGAGGGATGTGGAGGGAGTTGCTAAGCACTCCTAATTAGAGTAAGAATTTCATGTTACTTTGAGATTATGATAAGGTTGATTTAACTCATCATGGCAAGACTGATCGCGATTCACCACTTACTTTGTTTAAAAAGTAAGCAATGGCTTATCTTGATATGTTACTGTTTTCTAGGAGTGGAAAATGAGTTTCTCCATCACCAAAAAGTGGTTGAGGATGCAGGGAAACTATATTGTTTTTATCACTTTCAGATAAATATAGCTTATTTATATGCCGCACTATAAATTAATAAACTCTTTCCTACTTTAATGTAAGTCCATGTGAGAATTAAATGGGGGAAGGGGCAGGCATATAAATTAATCATCTACATGTTTTGAATGTTTGCTGATCCTAACATCTGCTGCTTTCTTCCCCACTTCTGCCTGCCCTATACTGAGCTTAAGTCAGTTACCCACTTAACACTTTCTTTCTATTCATTCTGAACAGTTATATTACTGAGTAATTCATATATCCCACTGGAAAAAAATTCTCCCTTACGCAGAAATCTAAGTTTCTGATAAATGTTTTTAATTTTTTTCTTATTCCAAGATATTTCTAATTAACACTCTGCAGTTTTTATTTCATGATCTGGCCACCTAATGGCATCAGGTGCTTTATAATAAGATAAAAGGTTCAAACAGAGCCTTAAAAGAATTAGAAAATTTCTTAAACTTAGTACTTGTCACATCTGAATGTATCATATTAACAGAAGTATTGAATTATAATAGAAAAAGTAATATAGGAAAGGCGTTCTTTAAATGAGAATGTTGACTGTTTTTTTTTCCCCCCTCTAAGGAATCTCTCCTACTGGGAAAGTTATTGTGACATGGTTAATGGTACAGGTAAGAATATTTGTTCTGTGGTCATCAAAATGAATCTACCTCCCTTTCCCACAAACCCACCATTATGTCGACAGTGTTCTGAAAGTTGAGGGTGTGTGTTTACTTGCCTTTATATCCCCACAACATAATTCAGAGTCACTATTTGTATATAGGCTTAGTGAATGTCTGTTCAATGTGATGGGATTTGTGAAGATGAATCATAAGGAATTAGCCCTTACTGCATGACTCAGAGAAATATTTGTTTTATAAAACCTTACTTAATTAACTGCCATCCTGGTAACAGAAGTAAATGGTGGGGGAAAAAAAAAAAGACAAAAACAAAGCAAAAAACACTTAAGTAGTTGCTATTCAAATCTGTTATTTTAATTGTAACTTATCTGTATACCATTTATGAAAAAAAAACTAATTGCAAAAGAAAAAACATATCTAAGCACGGGCTACTAGCTGAGGTAGAAAAGTTGCAAGACAGAAACATCTACTTTTGATAAGGTGGTCAGAATAAGAGAGAAAACAGTAACAAGTTCAGATGTTTACTTGACTCTGAAAAATACATGTAAAAAATGAGCATTCCAAGTTAGAATTGGGAAAAAAAAAGAACTATAAACTTAGATTTAAGGTATGGTTAGATCAGGCTTATTCTCCTTCAGGAAAAGCAAAGTACAGACATGCCTATTAGTGTAAGAATGAAGATTTTAAAAAAGCAATGGAAGGCCGGTCACAGTGGCCCATGCCTATAATCCCAGCACTTTGGGACACCAAGGCAGGCTAATTGCTTGTGCCCAGGAGGTCAAGACCAGCCTGGGCAACATGGCAAAATTCCATCTCTCCAAAAAAATAATAGCATTAGCTGCGCATGGTGGCACATGCCTATACTTCCAGCTACTTGGGAGACTGAGGCAAGACGATCACTTGGGCTTAGGAGGTGGAGGCTTCAGTGAGCTAAAATTGTGCCTCTGCACTCTAGCCTGGGCAACCTTGTTTTTTGAGACAAGTGGTGAAAATCGAATACTATGAAGTAATTAATATCAGGGTCAAGCTTTCAACTACTAGGAAACAAAAGCATGAAGTTTACAAAATTGGTGAATATCCCATAGGAAAATGACATGATAAAGACAGTTGAGTGAAAATGAAGCACAGAGACTGTTTATTTTGCTAAAGGTATGATTATTGACTTCATATGCATCTTTAATTCTATCATTGCCTTGTAGGAAACAAACAAAAAAACAGCAAAAACACTGTTGGATTTGCTTTTCAGGGTTTTGAGCCTTAGGGGTGGGTAAAGAAATTATTTTCTAAGTAAAGCATTTCTGGAAATAAATTTTCAAGTCCTCAATACTACCAATGTTAGTAGTTGTATAAGCAGAATACTTAGTCCTCAGATGCAGACATAAATATACTATGTACTCCTAGTAAAGGATTCTTTATGGGTTTCAGGAGAAAAGCTTTAAAAAGATTCATTAATGACAATAATATAAATGTATGGGCAGCAGGCATGAAGTTAAAAAATATCTACAGGGAGAACAGACATGAAACAAACTAGGAACAGAGGGAGTTTGGACCGAGCAGGGGATGATCCCTTGTGAGAGAGATTCTTGTTTATGACGCTAGGGAAAAGAAAGTAATGGAACAGTGAGATTCTAACATGTTTTCATTGTAATTTAGAAGTGCCATCCTCTTTACCTTCAGTAAGATTGAAAAAAACTTAAAATGAAAGTATCGGTATACATTTAGAATGTTTCTTTTGGAAGGAAAAAATAAAGCCCCGCAAATATCAGCTATGTTGCAGTCATTGTCCATGGTAGTTGCTGGGTATAATTAGGACGTAATCTTTAACCATATTTCAGATAATGATCTTAAAAGCTTGTCTTCACAATGCATTTTTCTTTAGTTATTAAGGAAGTAAGAAAGCAGTTGTTGGAATGCCTGTATGGGGGCTTATATCTAGACTTTAAGCTAGATTTGAATGTCCAGGTGTCTCAATAGCAGGATCAAGCAGTAACGACAAGTTCAGTGTGATCTTGTGTTATGTTTCACTTGTCACAAGAGTGTAAAGTATGAAAACAAGGTCACGAGGTTGACACACTTGCCAGAGAAAGAACCTGCAATGCATAATCAAGGGATGAGACTTACCGCTGAAAACTTATTCGATGATGGTTTGTATTAGTGATACTCATCTGAGAAGTCCATGAAGGAGTAACTATTTCTTCATATATCCAATGTTTGTCATGGATCATACCTGTAGAAAAAATTCAGTAAATTCAATGACTTTTTTATACACTTTCAAAGCATTTGAAGTTCTGTTTAGTGAGAGAACTTTAGTAAATATTTTTCAAAGTATTAATCAGCCATCAGGGCAAATGAAAAAAAAAAAATGACTAAAAATAAGAAATGTGGATGTGGCAGGAGTGCTAAATGAACTTCACTGTAAGAAAAGTGCCACTCCACTGTTGGGGTGGGGCGTTGTAAAAAACGAACACAATGTTAGCGTTAACACTTCATTTTATGTTTATTTTGTACCATTAAATATGTATAGTATGCAGATTTGTGGTTGGCTATAGCAGCCACTAGCCACATGTAACTGTTAAGGACTCAAAATATGGCTAGTATGATTTGAAATGTGCTGTCAATATAAAATGCACAGTGGATTTTGAGATTTTAAAATATCTTATAATGGTTACATGTTAAAATATTTTGGATATAATAGATTAAATAAAAAATACATATATGTATGTATGTATGTATGTGTGTATATATATATATATATTTGAGATGAAGTTTCACCCTTCTCAACCAGCCTGGAGTTTAATAGTGAGATCTTGGCTCACTGCAACCACTGCCTCCTGGGTTCAAGCGATTCTCCTGCCTCAGCCTCCCAAGTAGCTGGGATTACAGGTGCCCACCAACACATCCAGCTAATTTTTTGTATTTTTAGTAGAGTTGGTGTTTCACCATGTTGGCTAGGCTGGTCTCGAACTCCTGACCTTAGGTGATCCTGAGCTTTCTAAAGTGCTGGGAGTATAGGCATGAGCCACTGCACCCGGACAGTTATTTATTTATTTTTACCTTTTTAAAATGTGACTACTAGAGAAATTACTTAGGTAGATTGAATGATGTTTCTCTTGACTACACTGGAACAGAGATGTCTAGATTTGTTTCTAGAACACATTTTACATCTAATCATTTGCCACTCAATTTTTAAACAGATGCAGCCTCGTTTCCACCTTTTGTTGAGAAGAGCCAGGTTTTGCAGTTCTTTTCTTCTGACATTTGCAGGTAAGACAAATACAGATCTGAGTCAGACCCCAGGTGACAAAATGCAGACCAAGAAGCTTTAATAATCGTTTGAGAAAAATAAGAATAAACACAGCATAGGAAATTCATGTTTAACTCTTTGCAAAATATCCTTCTACATCCTCCAATTTTTAATACTGCAAATAATTCTTTTCTTTTCTTCTTTTTTTTTTTTTTTGCCATTTCTATCTAAGCGAGAACCATTTTGCCTTTTTAAAACTAAACTAGTAATAACGATCAAGCACACAAGGGCATGCACAACCTTTCTAAAGATATACAGAGAAGATGACGCAAACATAATAGAACTGTGTTAATTAATGTGCTCTGCTCAAATTTGTGGGGCCCAGTAGATAACACGCAAGCGCTAGTCTTTCTACCCTTGACCCCAAGCTCTGCCCTTAAAGACTGTATGATTGTGGGTAAGCATTTAACATCTCTGAACTTTTTTCTTATCTGTACAATTTAAGACAGCAGTATTTCTTCTTATAGAAATATCTGGTGATTAGAAAAAAATGTGTATTGAGCCCTATAAACTTGGTAAATGATGGAAATGTACCGGGCATATATCCAGCATGTATATGCACATGCTCCAGTGAGTGGTCTTTCTCTCCAGGATTAATTAAGCTGTGGAAAAAAAACCAAACTTCATTTCATTTAAACTGAGCACAAAAAAATATTTGAGGGAAGTCTCATCAATATTTACTCTAGAGGAAAAATTACCTGTGAGAAATGACTTTGGTATAAACATGGTACTTCACAAACAAGAACAGTTCCTACTTGGGTATTGAGTTCTGGTATGGGTTACAATTTCCCAATAACTTTATTTTCTAAGAATGAAACAAGAATTTAAGAGTATATGATGTTTCTAAGTTAAAGCAAGACTAAGTAAAATGAATCTCCAGAATGCAAGTGCAGGTCCCTGGAATGCAGCTCTTTTTTCTCTGTATTTAGGTCAATCTATGCTGTATTTGAATCCGAAATTAATCTGAAAGGAATCCCTGTGTACAGATTTGTTCTTCCACCCAAAGCCTTTGCCTCTCCACTTCAAAACCCGGACAACCATTGTTTCTGCACAGAAAAAATTATCTCAAAAAATTGTACCTCATATGGTGTGCTAGACATCAGCAAATGCAAAGAAGGTGAGTAAATATCCTCAGTAGCACAATCCATATCATAATTTGTGATATTCTTTAAAATGAGATCTTTACCACAATCTCTTTGCAACCAAAATTTAAAATTTAAGAAAAAAATTAGGGGAGAAGAGTGGCGGCAGAAAATTTTAGTGCTGATTTTGTATTTTGGGAGGGTCCCACTTGTGTTTCAGTTTTGCCAAAATTTAGTTAAATGGACATCAGTATTTCCTTGTGGCTGCTTTTAGATTTAGGGTGAAATGAAAATGATTCCCAGAACACTCTGAGCACCCCGTTATCCGTTATTGCTCTAACTTTTTTCACTAGAAAATGGTAAGATAAATGTATTTTCAGTATGTATCTAAAGCAAGAGTTCAACATAAAATTTGGAGTCCAGCTTATCAGGTAAATATTAATCATACTAATATGGATGTGGAAGAGGAAAGAAAAAACTAGTGTTCAATGAAATAAATTACATATTACTATGAACATGTTGAAGTATTTCAACAGTTGAAACTGTGTTCATCAACAAAATTTTACATATTGACAGTATTGAAGAAGCGTACAGTATACGTTAACTGACATAATTCTTCCCTAACTTTATCTCCTCCATCAGTGTTAAAAACCAAATATGTATTATTTTTAAGAAGCTTTATTTATGTGAAAATATTTTCTGAATTATATGTGAAATGAAGAAAGTCATTAATTCCAACTGACTCTTAAAACTTGTCTTCAGGGAGACCTGTGTACATTTCACTTCCTCATTTTCTACATTCAAGTCCTGATGTTTCAGAACCTATTGATGGCTTAAACCCAAATGAAGAAGAACATAGGACATACTTGGATATTGAACCTGTAAGAAAACACATTATTGATCTGTTTGGTTGATATTTTAAAAAAATACAACTGAAAGAAAAATGATCTTGTCAGTAACACTAATTGATCATATTTATTGAATCACATGCTTAAAAGTTACTGAAACTTATTAGTGAAAATTATATTGATTTCTTCCTATTACTGCTTAGGAAATGATTCTAATTGGCTTAAAATAATTTTATGTAAATTTTTTTATGCTTATATGAGGAGTCATTGAATATGTGAGTTTGGGGCAAGGTCTATGTAGAATTGTTACAGTACAACAGTTTTAATCTTTATATTTTCCTTATCAAAAGTTCAATGAAATTCTAGAATTTTAATAGTCATGTTTAGTTTAAATAATGACAGTAGTATTATAACTAATGATACATGGATTCTAACTGAATATGTATTTGACCAGGAATTAAATGATCTGGGATCCTATATTTTGTTGTTGATTTCCTTAAAACCACTTCAAGTAAATCACAAATCTAATGAAATCCTTGATATTAGATTGGACCAAGAAATTGTGTGTATCCATAGATGCATGTATAAAAACATGTAACTATATATACAGTTATATATAATATATTCAATAAGTCCAATTAATTTGTAACTTTTAAAAGTTTCAAGTAGGCCGGGCGCGGTGGCTCAAGCCTGTAATCCCAGCACTTTGGGAGGCCGTGGCAGGTGGATCACGAGGTCAAGAGATCGAGACCATCCTGGTCAACATGGTGAAACCCCGTCTCTACTAAAAATACAAAAAATTAGCTGGGCATGGTGGTGCGTGCCTGTAATCCCAGCTACTCAGGAGGCTGAGGCAGGAGAATTGCCTGAACCCAGGAGGCGGAGGTTGCGGTGAGCCGAGATCGCGCCATTGCACTCCACCCTGGGTAACATGAGTGAAACTCCGTCTCAAAAAAAAAGTTTCAAGTAGTCCTTTGCACCTTAAGTTCTATATTACCTTCTCTCCTGTTGTAAGAAAAATAACTTTTGAATAGTATAGAATAGTATAAAATAATGTTTTAAAAAGAAATTGGAAATTATTTTAGTTGTTCTCTTTTTAGATAACTGGATTCACTTTGCAATTTGCAAAACGGCTGCAAGTCAACCTATTGGTCAAGCCATCAAAAAAAATTGAGTGAGTCTCTTGAAAAAGGTTATTTTGATATGATTTGTATTATCTTCTTGTAAGAACATGAGTATATCTATGTAAGTAAATGAAAAGAACATCTGATATCAACTTATCTTTAGCTTAATGTCACCAAATAATCATTATTAAATGCTCATGACAAATTTCATCTATGCCTTAGAATCATATACTGTGTTTATTGAAATGGTGCTTGAACGGATTTTGGAATGGTTTTTATTTGAGCATTTGATGGCCTCTCTCATTTTGTTAGAATTCATATTTTATTTCCCTGAGTAGAATTTATTGAAAGGGAAAATCTGTACTTGGGGGAAAAATCAATGTGATTAGAAGATATAAGAGCAAATGAAGTCTGAGAAACAACTATATGAAAATTTAAGTGATTCATTACAGGAACAAAATCAAATTAGCAACAGCAACTAATTTCTGAACATTTAAAACAATTTGTTATATATAAATATTAGTTTATATGTTCATAATTATTTTCAATGTATATTACAGAGCACTAAAGCGTTTGAAGAGGAACTATATTGTGCCTATTATTTGGCTTAATGAGGTTTGTATTTTAAGCTATTAGTCATTAGAACAAGAAACTTTGTATATAAGCTCTTGATGTTTCTAAAGAATGTACAGTATTTAAAGCTACATGTATTTCCATTGCCCATATGGATGAGTACACATTTGAGATAACTTAATTGCGCAAAAATATCAAGTTTGTGTTAGTTTTCCTTTTTTATTTTTTAAAAAACCTTTCCTATCATTTAAGATTTTCTTTAAAAATGCTATTAAACACTTTTTCTTGTATCACTTGTCTTAGGGAAGAGGCACATACATGTAATTCCAGGTAAAACTATTTAGTTGGCTTTTATTAGCACCATAAGTCCAGGTTAGCATAGTCATAGTCTATCCTATTGCCTCACAAGGTATTTTTCGTATCATTGATTAGCTATAAACATAGGAAAAACGTTGAATAACACTTTGGAGCAAGTGGAACTGTTGAGGACATGCAATTGAAGGGTTTGAGTATTTTGCTTTACTAATGTACCCAAATAATGTTGATTATTAACTTGATTACAGACTGGGACCATTGGTAATGAGAAGGCAGACATGTTCAGAAGTAAAGTTACTGGAAAAATAAACCTCCTTGGCCTGCTAGAAATCACCTTACTTAGTGTTGGTGTGGTGATGTTTGTTGCTTTCATGATTTCGTATTGTGCATGCAGATCAAAAGCAATAAAATAAGTAAGTATATACCAAAAATATTGCTTCAATAACATTAGCTTATATATTACTTGTTTTCATTTTATCAAAGAGAAGTTATATATTAGGCCATGTATATTTCTAGACATTCCTAGCCAACAATCATTTTATTTTGAAGTATTTAATGGAAATTAAGACACAAGTAAATAAAATCTATAAATATTAAGCAGATCACTAAAGTATCTAATTCTGGGAGAAAGGATAAAAGATGTCATTGTAACAATAGCACAAATATAGCACTTGTCCAAAATTGACTGGTTCATTTCTCAGTTATATAGCTCATTATTTTTTAAAATCAGATAATTTATAATGGACTAGGAAAGGGTGTCATAAGAACAGGATTGCTGCATGTAGACATGCTGGCCATGCATTTTCCAAATGAACAATTAAAAGACCTGAGCTAAAATTTGAATATAATAGTATCAGGAAATAGGAGAAAATAGTATTCAACATGGTAAAACCAAGTACTCAAAGTTTAGAGGAAAAGAAAGATAAAATGTGAACAACAGTTTTGACCAAATGTTGAGACACTTTAAGCCTCTATGCTTCAAATATTAGTGTCCATGCTCTCTATACATAAAGTGTAATGAATGCTTGACCTTTCCTAAAGGAAAACCTTTTTTTTAGTGTTGATAGTAGCATTGGTGTTACCTGAAGGGGAGAAATTTTTACTTTCTCCAGCCCACCCTTCTCAGAGCACATCAAAATAAAGCAATATGTGTGTGCTATAATAACTTTTGAGTTGTTTACTATGTGCCAGCACCATGGTACTGGCACATGGTAAACATTTTATATTTTATCCTTGATACAATTTCATGATTTTCCAATCGCCTGGATTCATCAGCATCCATTCTGTCTTCAGAGATGTTCCATGAAACCAAATTTTAATTGTCTATTACCAAAGCATAAATCCATTACATTGATGATTTTTTAAAATATAAAGTGGAATTTAGGGACCAATAATTTTGTTTAAGATGACAACCTAATTTTTGGATCAAATCACTTCTACCACTATTTAGTCACCAGAAAGACAATAATTCTGCCCACAAACTGTTTGGACAGAATGCCTTCAAAATGCTAACCTAAAAAGTTCACATTATAAAAAATGAAATATTACCTTTAATACCTTTCATTAGCCTACTGACAAATTATGACTAACCAAAGGTATTTATATGACCATGTAATAGAAAAGATTAACAAAAAACTTGTCCTAATGAGAAAGCATGCTTAATAAAAGTTATAAACATGTTTCCTAAATATTCCAAATTAAAATTATGTGATACATTTTATCACTGCTTAATGATCCCTGCATGTCAGATTCCTTGGGCCCATTTGTCGCCAAATTATAATGAAAAAATGAAGAGTTGCTGTAGCAACTTTGTCAACATATATACTAGTGTTGCTTATACATTTGATTTTTATAAGGAAAAGTTACTGCCCCCTACCTTTTTTTATGAGCAGAGAATAGACTGTTGATTACTTGATTTACTAGATTTAGAAGAATCACAAAAGATGTAGATTTTCTTAAGCAAAATTCAGCTTTTAGTATCATTATATCTTTGGACAGATTTGTGAACAATAGGAACAAGTAGGAAGATAGGTATTCGAGAGGGAGCAAAGTATAAGTTAGTGGAGTTAATGTGCGGTTTTACTCGGGGGGTTACAAGGAAAATAACCCAATGGTCATTTTTAAAGTAGTACATACACCTTTAAATGGAAGTTGGTCTGAAGGGTGTGGAAATGCTGGTCTAGGGTAGATGTACTTTAGCTACCATTCCTTGTCTGATATGTGCTGGTTTTGAGGGTTGGGAATCACCCTTCTTAATGTGCCTTTCTGGAATGGGAATATTTTTGCCTTATGGGTGAAGTGCATTAGAGAACACTTCTCACTGCAGCTAAAGAAATTGAACTGATTAATGAAAAGTATGATATCTTAGATATATAAAATTTAAGCATTATTTGTTGTAATATTCCCTGCTTTCTGATTAAGTGGTAACATTTCCTCTGCTTTACAGGCAGCAAATGATTCTTCACATTTATGCAACATCTATGTCATGACCTTTGGTAATACCGACCTACAGGATGAAGATTGGATATGATTTAATTTTACAAACACACCTTATCTTTTTGTTGAAGAAATGGTGGCACTATTTTTGTTTTTTGCACTAAGCAACAGCACATTTCAAAAGGATTGAGATGTTATGAAAATCTCTACCTTGCACAAAAAACTCCAGCACCTTTTTAAAATTCATGATTTTCACAACTGAATTGATTTCAGTTTCTATAGACCTGGCTCAAGCACGAACCAATTTCTTTTTGTTGTTCTGATTCAATAATTGGTTTCTGGGTGGCCAATTCAGAAGCAGAGTGGACGTTCTCAACAAATCCTAGGCCCTGCGTTCCTGTCTTCTTCATCCAGGGGAACACACTATCACCCTAGTAGCTGCCCTGTTCAACTGCAACAGTGTCCAGGCCCATCAGCATATTGCATTTCCTGCGCACCAAATATTTTGAAAGACATTTATTAATGATTGGCTTATGACTCATTAATTATGTATTTCTCTGTGAATTCCTTCATACAACAACAGCAGGTATCATAACCCTTTTTTTTACTTCATAAAAGTATGGTCTTATATATTTTGTCACTGATCATGCAAATGGACATCATTTTAATACACTTTAGCTTTTATATTTTAAAGACTTTGTCATTTTCTATGTTCTGCGACTCTTCTGGAAATATGATTAAATTTTGCTTTTTTTTATTCAGTTGCAACTTACGCTTGGCATCTTCAGAATGCTGTTCTAGCATTAAGATGTAAATGATGAAGGAATTATTGTATGAAATATTACGAAGAGTAGAAATGCATTGTTATTCATTATAATATTTTTGGCCATCATAATCACCTCATAAAGACTGTTTTCAACCATTAAAATGTTTTCCCTTAAATTCCTCTGCTTTTTCTAGCTCTTGTTGTGTCATAAAATGTTTATCCTAATTTTCTGTCCGAAGTATATTATCTGAATCCACATTTCTTTATAAATCCATAGTTCTTGCTGAAATGTGCTTTCTAAATTTTGACCACTTTTTTCTACGCTAATGTTTCATGCTAATTGGATAAAGAAAAAAAAGACATTTGGTTTTATCCTTTAAAGCAGTAGGATTGTTATAAAGGTTTTTCCTGTTTCGTAAGGAGACACATTAATAGGTAACCCTGCTTTCTTTAGCAGGGGTTCACTTATTTCAGAGAGCTTTTCCTAAAAAAATCCCAGCATAGAAAGGGAAGACAAACAAAATTCTATCTTGTGTTTTACCCACAGAAGGATGCTGGACAAAGGAGTAGTAACTGACCTGTTTGGATACTAAAATTGAAAATAACTTAGCCTCCTTATGCTAGCTGCCCGGCTAAATGTTTAACATTCCCTGTAAAAAAGCCACAAACCAAGATTCTACCTGTTTGAAAAGATCTTTGAATCTCTGAAGGTGCTTAAAGCATATTAATAAGTGCCTTTCCTTTTAACTGCAGGATAAAAGTATCTGTCCAAGATATTAATATGTAAGATAACATTGTACCACATGTTCTTCTGATAATACAAGGTTTATTCTATTTTCATGAGGTTATTTGTGGATATGTCATCTGAGATAAATATAAAAAGTTTTTTAATTGTAGAGACCCTTAGGGCTGAGTTATATAATGTAGAAATGTCTAAAAATAACTGGATGAGAAAATACTTATTGACCTCCTGTCTATTATCACTAATTATGACTCAGATCTTAATATCTTCCTATAGGAATGATCTGATGGCATTTAGATATCAAAAGATTTTGACCTGTATGTCTTTAATATTGTTTGAATACATGTAATATTGTAATCTTTATCATTCCTCAGTATTTCATTTCTCATTCTGTAAAAGAAATACAAGAGGAAAGATAATGCATCCACAAAGACAACCAGATTAAAAATATGCTTTGGGGGGCCCAGGCGGGTGGATCACCTGAAGCCGGGAGTGTGAGACCAGCCTGACCAACATGGAGAAACCCCGTGTCTACTAAAAATACAAAATTAGCTGGGCATGGCAGGGCATGGTGGCACATGCCTGTAACCTCAGCTACTTGGGAGGCTGAAGCAGGAGAATTGCTTGAACCCAGGAGGCAGAGGGTGTGGTGAGCCAAGATGACACCACTGCACTCCAGCCTGGGCAACAAGAGTGAAACTCTGTTTCCAAAAAAAAACCACTAAAAAAAAAAAAAAAAACCATGCAGTAGGAAAAATATTTAAAGAAGGGGAGATTTTTTTTTTTTTTTTACATGAAATCTGGGGAGTGTGTGTGTGTGTGTGTGTGCACACGCACACTGTGGTAGGAGAGGGGCAATGTGGGGAATATATTACACATGTGACTTTTTGTTTTGCCCTGGTGAAGTGAATGTTGTTCAGAAAGATAATTTTATATGTTTTAGTCATAAAAAAGTTATACCCTTTGGTAGAGGCACATTTTCATCCCAAAGTTGGTTATTCCCAACGGAACTATAGTGGTTATTCATAAGTTTGAAAATCAATAGCATCTACAAATGGGTTAACAGATTAGAGAATCAACAGCATCTGAAAATAGGTTAATGCATATTGCTTCTAACAAGTGCATGAAGAAATGGAACAAGCTATGTAGCTTTCAGTTCTGACAGAAAGGGGTAAAGGTGGGTATGGTTTCAAGAAACATATATAGCTATGCACATGGTTATCTCTGAAAATATTTGTATTAAGATGTATACATGTACACATTTCTTAACCTGTTATCAGTGTCTGAGCTACATAATTATCTTTCTAGTCGGAATTTGTTTTAGGTGTGTACCAACTGACAGTTCAGTTTTTCTCTTTGAAGTCCAATGTGTTGGCGACACTGGCTCCTCTCTTCGCCTGCCTCTTGTGGCCTGTCTACAATTCTAAACGGATTTTGAACTCAATGTTGTCCATTGTGGTTTCCTGCATATACCAACAGCACTACCTATGACTGGTTTTTCCAGAGTTGTTTTCACTGAGCTAAGCTAATGAACTATAACTGAGATATGTTTTATATTTGTATCAAATACACAAAAGAAACACTCTGCTTTTCCCTTTTGTGGCTCAAAAATAGCTGCACTTTAAAATATTTGTGAAAATAAACGCTTTTGTTATTAGAAAAGCGATTGTGCTTTTTATTTTTACTTTCGAATGTAGCTGACTTTCATATTGTTTGATATTGTTACTATACTTTTATATGAGCTATTCTCTTTACACGACTTATTTACATATCACTCCTATTTCCTTTTTCCAACAATTCCCAGATTCTAGTAGTTTAACCTACATATTGCAAAACATTTCCTTCTACATACTCATGAAGGGCACTGTGACATAGCTAGGATAAATATAAATAGTTTAAAATTTTGCTTTAATTACATGAATCTTAGACAAACAGCCTCAACATCACCAGGGAACTTGTTAAAAATGCAGAATGTCTGGTCCTACCTCAGACCCACTGAATCAGAATCCACAGTTTAACAGGATCTTTCAGAGATTCACAGACACACGAATTTTGAAAAAGCCCTGATTTAAGTCACTGAAGTTTGACTAGCGGTAAGAGTTTTATTTGACCTGTTGCTGGTATTAGTTTGATGTATTGACAGAAAGACATAAGTGATTAAATCTACATAAGCATATTGAGATGAGGAGGGAGTTCATCAGACCTGAAAGTGTTGCTATAAATATCCCACTAAGTTTTAAATTTGCTCTGTTGAACTTGTAAATGATACTTTCAAACAGTAATAAAGCTAATCTATATGACAGAGTAGAGATGTAGTGGTATTGAATGTGAAACACCTTCTATTTGCTGGGATGTGTTATTTGATTTACTTGACAGTATTAATGACAAATATATTTGCTACATGTAAAGTAGGGACTAGGTTAGGAGCAGGTAAGTGATATGAAAATTGGAGACAGGTCCTAGACTTTAAATGAGGTAAAAATTATCCATCTGAATAAAGAGATGCTTCAGGATCCAGTAGCTTTCTGTTTTATAAATGTATACTGAATATAATAAGAGCTATAGAGTTTTACTATGAGCAAAAAACTGGGCTAGATAGCGACATGGCCTGCTTGCTGCACGTTTGCAGTGGAGTAGGGAGCAAGGGCAAGGGAGGGGATAAAGAAAAGAAAATTCAGAGTATTTAAGATGGAGAAAGTCTATATGATTGTATGAAAGTGAATGAGGAAGGCTGGGCACAGTGTCTCATGCATGTAATCCAGCATGTTAGGAAGCCACAGTGGGAGCATGGCTTGAGGCCAGGAGTTTGTGACCAGCCTGGGCAACATAGCAAGACCCTGTCTCTACCAAAAAATTAAAAATTAGCTGCATGTGATGTCATATACCTGTAGTTCCAGCTGCTGGGGAGGCTGAGGTGGGAGGATCCCTTGAGTCCAGGAGTTTAGGGCTGTTGTGAGCTATGATCACACCACTAAATTCTACCCTGGGCAACAGAGTGAGACCCTGTCTCTAAAACAGAGTGAATGAGGCCAGTGTGAGAGAGCTGAGCGTGGAACTACCTAGGCTTAAAGTGCCAGTTTGGCAGCTGTTGCTCAGCCCTAATTTTGTCTTCATTCTACACAGTTGAGGACATTTGTGGACTAGGACATTAATTTTTTAGCTCTTTATAGCTTTATGATAAAAGTTTGGTAAATTCACTTAACAACATTAAGGCTTCTCAGAGCCTTTACTGTACTATAAATCTCTAAGAGGAAAAGTTAGTGTTCAGTGTTTACTGAAGTTTTATGACCATGGATTCTTTTTCCTCAAGAATAATGACTTAGGAAGACAGGGTACATTTTTAAAAAACCAATCTTGGCTGTTAGTATTTTGCTTGATTCTCATAATTTATTTCCTGACTTCTCTTTTTAATCACTGTAAGATAGCCATACATTTATTCAATGCATGAATATAAAGTACCTATGCCAGTAAGAAGTACATATAAAATACCCAATATTTGAAATGCTGATCGTGTTCCCTATTCTGTGGCTTTCACTGACATGCTTACCTTGATCATCTGACCATAGTAGTGACTGCATTGTTTTAACTTAGTGTACCACATGGTACATTCCCGGACTACACAGATGCTATTTGCAAGCACAACACCAAACATTTCTTCAATTGCCTGCTATAATATTCTAACATTCTTCTCTCACTCTTACACGTCAGATATCTTACTATTTAATCTTCCTTTATAGTCAATACTTCATTCTCTGGCAAACTTTATTCAACATCTTAAAACATTGGTGTTGATCTATCATTATTTACAGGAGTCATCTATTAATGCCATGAAAACTCTGTTCATAAAAAGAATTTAAGGAGCACTGTTAACTGTGGTAGAGACAGCAGTGGTCCTTAAACATCTTTTATGGACCTGCCCCCTGCATATTTCAGAGGCTTACAATTAAAAGGAGTAATGCAATAAATTCTGGCCAATTTTCTGTAGACAGAAGTGTTAAGTAATGAACCTCAGGAGCACTGAAGAGCTTTCACATCTTTGTCAACTGTTGTAATAACTGACAGCTCAGAAGAGATCACAGACAGCCATCAGCTTGGCCTCTTGAGTGACTGTGTAGAGGGCAATGCCAGATCACAATTTTGAGACATGAGATATGAGAAGAATGATTTTCTTAAGTTACATTATTGCAAAAAGTGTATTGGTTTTACCATAGTTTAAATAATATAAGATCCTCCCCAAAACTGAAAGATTTTCAGGTTGTCTTTGGAGCTACTAACAGCCTATGTAACACCTGTGTTCACAAATTTTGAAACTTTGTAGATCCTGATATTTGAGAATTAAAAATATCCACTAGCAATGTTTACTAAATGGTATCCTTTAGAACAGTAATTTTGGAATATAACATTCTTTATGGAAAATTTTGTCCACTGATGAAA